AAAAATAAATCTGTGTTAATATTATTTTAAAATAATATTTATGTTATTAAAATTTATTATAATAAACTTTAAAATAAAGTGACAAAACCAAAACTTTAATCTTTTCCAAACGAGATAACTAACTTTAATTAACTTTATGTAAATATCAATAAAAAATAATAAGTATTTATCTGTGTTAATATGATTTTAAACTACAACTATTATTATTATTATTATTTATATTATAAAAAACCTATTATAATAAATTTCAAACTTTCCAAAACAAAGTGAAATACAAAAACTTTTTTTTTATATTTTAGTTTTGTTAGATGTATTGCTTATTTTTTATGTAAATATTGATAATTAATAATAACAATAGTTCTGTACTAATATTATTTAAAAATAATATTTATGTTATAAAAATTTTATTATTGACTTGTTAACTATTGAATAAATTTAAACTTTTCTAAAATAAAGTGACATGCAAAACTCCTATTAATTATTAATATATAATAATTTTTCTTTAGATATTCAATGAATTTTCAAAACTAATTAATGACTAATAGCAATATAACTTAACTTTATATAAATTTAATGGGTATCATTCTATGTTAAGATTATTTTAAAATAATATTCATGTGTTAAGTTTATTTTAAAATAATATTTACATTACAAAAAATTTAATCTTCTTCAAAAACAAAGTGCAGCAAATGTTTATTTTAATATATTATATTTATTCGTTAGATATTTAATAAATGCATTCAAAAATAAAGCAACGAGTATCAGTATCTTTTAATTTTATAGAAACATTAATAAAGTATGATATGAATTAATTCATCATTTAGGATAATTTTAAAATAATATTCATATTATAAAAAACATATTAAAAGTAAATTTCAACTTCTCTAAAACAAGGTGATATAGAAAAAGTTTATTTTATTATATTATATGGTATTGTTAGATATTTAACAAATTTAATTAAAAATAAATTATAAATAAATAAAAATCACTAATATCTGTATAACTTAAATTCATATAAATCTTAATAAACAGAAATAAAACCTAATCTGTTTTAAAAATATTTTAAATAATAATATAATCATATTATTAAATTATATATCTATAAAAAATATATAAAGACAAGAAATTACTCATAATTACCAATGATAATTTTTAAATAATTTTTCTGAAATTTAGAAGAAACAACTTTTTTGAACTAATTGATGAATATTATTACTATATTTAAATTATTACTACAAAATAATGCAATTATTATGTATTAATAACCTGAAATAACTGACTATTCTTTAATAAAATGTATTAATCTTATAGGCTCATAAACAGTTATTATTATTACTATGAACTGTATGGTTTAAAAAAGTGCTATAAAATTTAAAGAAATAATATATTTATTATAAACTCAGTGAATTTTGCGGACTTTATATAGTGTTTTTACTTAATTGGAAAAACTTTTAGGGTAAGTTCTAGAATATAATCGTGCTGAATATATCGCGTTTTTCCATCAGTATAGTGCGGACGCAATATTATTTTTAGTTAGTCGATAAAATGGACTTAATCGAGGTTTTATTCGCGTGTTTCATAATTATATGTATTTAGGAACTAAATTGAATTTAGTATAATGGGATATTTCATATTGATATTTTTTAGCTAGAAAAAAAGAATAGATTTTTCAATTCTGTCTTAAATTTAAATCATAAACCGTAACTAAATCGTAAATCGTAAATTCAAAACAAAATCTTGAATAAAGTAAAATTAATTAGTAAAAAAAGCGAAAGATAGTGTTGAAAACT